CTTGAATCTCAGGGGGAAGAAACTCCATTCGTAGGGGATAAAAGAACTCTGGTGCTTTTTGAGTCTCCGGTTCATGACACCATCATAGAAGAATCTGTTGAAGAACCTGATTCTCTTTTAGCTGAAACAAACCAGGTGGTTGTAGAAGAAAGAGGCATTTTGAGTCTGCCTTGCAGAAGAGTAAGCAGAGTATTAAGAGAAAATAAGAAGAGGTTGATGAAATAGGGGGAAGCTATGGCTGATAAACACATTCCAGTGGTTAAGGTTGATAAAGATGTTGTGGAGGAACCTAGTTCCTTAGTGAAAAGATCTACAAAAGGTTGTGGCTGAGAAAGATTTGTTTAAGGGTGATATTGTGGCTATTACAAGCAGGAATGGGAAGTTTATTGAAATATCTAGAAAAGAAATGTGGGAAACTGTGGGAGGACCTGGTTCAATGAAGACCATTCTAAGTGACAATGGCCTTGGGCAGGAGAGTTAACTCAGAAAAAGTCTTGTGGGGTTGCACGCTTGCCCGACAATCTAGGAGATGGCAGGTATGAGACAAGTTCTGGACTTAGGCCACTAGTGGAGAACCTGCGGGAGAAACTGCTGCCTCAAAACTAATAGTTGTCTGCAACTACCCGCATGGACCTAGCTCTCAAAACCATTATTGCCTCCTCTTCCAAGCCTCCATCTTCTAGTACCCCCTAGGATCCTCTCAGTGGCCAGTTATCTTTTGCTCTGATGATTTTGTGGCTGTTGTTTCTCTTTTTGTTTGTCTCTTTGTGATGGCATGTTGGATTTCACCGTTGTTGCTCCTGTTGAAACAGTCAAATTTCTTATCAATAAAACAACTCTTCTTTTGCTTGTACAATGCTTGTTTTCCCTTTTGCTTCTCTTTTCTATCATGATTGTGTGCACATATGTGGCATGAGTTAGCTTTGTTGGACTTCTTTATGCCTTTTTTGTCTGACTGTGTCTTTTTGTTGATGCCAAAAGGGGGAAGAATAGAGTCAGGGGGAATATATGTCAAAAGGGGGAAAAATAGAGTCAGGGGGAACATATGCAGTTGCTGGTACCTTATCTGGTTAAGTCAAATAGTTATCATTGTTAAAAGTTTGTCATCATTAAAAAGGGGGAAACTGATGAGCTTAAGGTCTTTTAAGCTATGTTTTGATGATCTATCAAACTTTCTGTATGGAACCAGATAAAAGACCAAGAACGATAGTAAAAAGTTAGGGGGAACATATGGGGAAACATGTGTAAGTAAGGGCATAAAGTCAGGGGAACATGTGGTCTCCTGTTATTCAATCTGGTTCTCTGAACTCTAACTCCTCGTTTTCAATGCTAAGTTTGTCATCATCAAAAAGGGGAAAATTGATAGGTTTTCAATATCTTTGCCTTGTGTTTTGATGATCTAACAAACTTAATGTCAAGAACCAGATAGGGAATCTGACTCACTTGGATTACACTGCATCTAACGGATTCCAGCCAAATGTGAACTTGCTACAGCTTCAGGAGGTAGGAACCCAGACAAGGACCTGATACTCTTGTGGGTTCCTCACGGCAGTACAAAGTCAATTGGACACAGCTGGAAACGAAGATTCTGCCGCACTGCACTATTTCCAGCACCCACTCATTCTCTGATCAACTAAAGTACAATGATTCAAGTTACTCAACTCAAGACAATCTGGGCAGTGTGCACAAGTACCAGATCAGGAACCTGATCCCTTGGTGCTCCCCTGACAAAAGTACAAGTCAACTATACAGCAGGAACACAACTAAAGAAAATGACTGTCCGCAACTGTATAAAGAGGAACACAACAGGGACCTGGTCCCTTAGGGTTCTCTGACAGAAGTACAAGTCAACTGTACAGCTGGAACGCAACCGAGTGACTGTTCGCAACTGTACAAAGAGGAACACAACAGGGACCTGGTCCCTTAGGGTTTTCTGACGGAAGTACAAGTCAACTACAATTGGAAAGCGATTGCAGAAAGTGACTGCCTGCAACAGTAGCAGACAGTGCAGCAGTCACTTCCCATTGAGATTGGACATCACTAAGGATGTCTTGTGTAGTATAAACCTTATGCAAAATTCAGGTTCAACACTTGCAAATACAGAAAACGAAAATTCTCTCAAGTGCTCAAAAACCTCTCTTAAGAACAAAGCTGCTGCAACCTCAAGGACCTGATCTGAGATTGATGATATCTTAAGTCCTTAGGGTTGTTGAGTCTTTGTTATGTGTTCATCATTATAACTCCTATCCGGCTTTCTTAGAAGCATTGATTAGGTTGAGTCATAAGCAAAAGCCTTTGTAACCGTAGTGTGACAAAGTGGCTTGTGGTGGAAACATCACAAGTTAGTTAACGCCTTTGTAACCGTAGTGTGACAAAGTGGCTTGTGGTGGAAACATCACAAGTTAGTCAAATTCTTTGTAAGTAGGATGGTTATAAAGTGGCTTGTGATGAGAACATCACAAGTTAGTTGAAGTATTTGCAATAGGGTTAATGTAAAGTGGCTTGTAATAGAGAGATTGCAAGTTAGTGAAGCTAAAAGCCTACAAGTGTAGGTCGTGGTTTTTTGATCCCCTAGTGTGGGATTTTTCCACGTAAAAAGCCTCTGTCTTACTTACATTCAGCTTTACTAGCATTCACAGCAGAACCCGATAAAGGACCAGGTACTCTAGTATTTGGTGGATTCACACAAACTTAGCACTATACCAAACTGATATATGACCAGATCGCTATACAGTTTGGTTCATCAGTATTTTCAGAGGAAACAGATAGAGAACCTGGTTCTCTATACAGTCTGGTGGACGCACAGTCTCTAACACTCGCCCGGCTCAAACCAACTAGCTGGAGATCTACACCGTCTTCCATACAAAGCCTCATATGGAGCCATCTGAATACTCGACTGGTAACTGTTGTTATAAGCAAACTCTGCGAGCGGTAGAAACGGATCCCATGACCCTCCAAAATCAATGACACAAGCGCGCAACATGTCCTCCAATATCTGAATGGTGCGCTCGAACTGCCCGTCCGTCTGAGGGTGAAAAGCTGTGCTCAACTCAACTTGAGTACCCAACTCTCGCTGTACAGACCTTCAAAACTGTGAAGTAAACTGAGTACCTCTGTCTGAAATGATGGAAACTGGGACGCCATGCAACCGAACAATCTCCCGGATGTATATCTCTGCCAACCGCTCCGAAGAATAGGTAGTGCGCACAGGAATGAAGTGCGCGGACTCGGTTAGCCGATCCACAATCACCCAAATAGCATCAAACTTCTTCAAAGTCCGTGGGAGCCTAACTACAAAGTCCATGGTGATCTGCTCCCACTTCCACTCTGGAATATCCATCCGCTGAAGCAAGCACCCGGCCTCTGATACTCATATTTCACCTGCTGACAATTGAGACACCGAGCTACGAATCCTACAATGTCCTTCTTCATTCTTCTCCACCAATAATGTTGTCTCAGATTCTGGTACATCTTTGCGGCACCTGGATGAATGGCATACCGCGAGCTATGGGCCTCCTCCAGAATCAACTCCCGAAGGCCATCCACATTGGGCACGCATATCCGGCCCCGCATCCTCAATACCCCCATCATCACCAATGGTCACATCTCTGTCATCGTCATGCTGAACCCTGTCCTTAAGGACAAGCAAATGAGGATCATCATACTAGCGCTCTCTGATGCGATCAAATAAGGAAGACCGAGAAATCACACTAGCTAATACCTGACTAGGCTCCGAAATATCCAACCTTACGAACCGATTGGCCAAGGCCTGAACATCAACTGCAAGAGGCCTCTCCCCAACAGGAAGATATGCCAAACTCCCCATACTCACCGCCTTCCGGCTCAAAGCATCGAACACCACATTGGCCTTTCCCGGATGGTACAAGATCGTAATATCATAATCCTTTAGCAGCTCCAACCATCTCCGCTGCCTCAAATTGAGATCCTTCTGATTGAACAAGTGCTGGGGGCTACGATGATCAGTAAACACCTCGCAAGACGCACCATGCAGATAATGCCTTCAAATCTTCAACACATGAACAATGGCAGGCAACTCCAAATCATGAACACGGTAGTTCTTCTCATGGGGCTTCAACTGACGAGAAGCATAAGCAATAACTCTACCCTCTTGCATCAATACACACCCAATACCCACTCTCTAAGCATCATAATACACCGTATATGAACCTGAAGCCGATGGTAACACTAATACTGGAGCTGTGGTTAAGGCAGTTTTGAGCTTCTGGAAGCTCTCCTCACACTCATCAGACCACTGAAATGGAGCGCCCTTCTGAGTCAACTTGGTCAAGGGCAATGCGATGGATGAAAATCCCTGAACAAACCGGCGGTAATAACCCGCCAAACCAAGGAAACTGCGAATATCTGTGGCTAAGGACGGTTTGGGCCAACTCTGAACTACCTCTATCTTCTTCGGATCAACCTGAATACCCTCGCTGGACACCACGTTCCCCAAGAAAGCCAATGAGCCAAAACTCACACTTGGAGAACTTTGCATAAAGCTTCTGCTCTCTCAATCTCTGTAACACCACTCTCAAATGCTCCGCGTGCTCCTCCTGACTACGCGAGTATACTAGAATATCATCAATGAAAACAATAACGAACGAGTCGAGATAAGGCTGGAACATGCTGTTCATCAAATGCATGAACGCTGCTGGGGCATTGGTCAGCCTGAAAGACATCACAATGAACTCATAGTAACTATATCGGGTCCTGAAAGCTGTCTTGGGGATATTCGAGTCCCTGATCTTTAGCTGATGATACCATGAGCGAAGATCTATTTTGGAGAACACCCTCGCTCCCTAAGGCTAGTCGAACAAATCATCAATGCGAGGCAGGGGATACTTGTTCTTAATTGTGACCTTGTTCAACTGCCTGTAATCAATGCACATACTCATGGTGCCATCATTCTTCTTCACGAACAAAACAGGTGCACCCCATGGCGAAACACTAGGACGAATGAACCCCTTATCGAGGAGCTCCTAAAGTTGCTCCTTCAGCTCCTTCAACTTTGTTGGTTCCATACGGTACGGTGGAACAGAAATGGGCTGAGTACCCGGCACCAGATCACTACTGAAATCAATATCCCTGTCCAGTGGCATGCCCGGCAGGTATGCAGGAAACACGTCTGGAAAATCCCTCACAACTGGAACAGAATCAATGCTGGGAGTCTCTGCACTGACATCCCTCACAAATGCTAAGTATGAAAGACAACCTTTCCCGACCATACGCTGGGCCTTCAAGAATGAGATTACCCGGCTAGGAACATAATCAGACAGACCTCGCCACTCAATCCGTGGCATACCCAGCATAGCTAACGTCACTGTCATGGCATGACAGTCCAAAATAGCCCGGCACGGAGATAACCAATCCATGCCCAATATCACATTGAAGTCTACCATACATAGCAACAGAAGATCCACTCGAGTCTCCAGACCCCTGATAGACACAACACACGACCGGTACACACGGTCTACCATAACAGTATCGCCCACCGGAGTAGAGACTTAAATAGAGTTAAGGAGAGACTCGCAGGGCATATCCAAATAATGGGCAAAATAAGATGACATATAAGAGAGTGTAGAGCCAGGATCAAATAATACAGAGGCATCTCTGCGGCAGACTGAGATAATACCTGTAATCACCGCATCTAAAGCAACAGCATCAGGTCTAGCTGGAAGTGCATAGAAGCGGGCCTGACCACCACCGGATCGACCTCCTCCTCTTGGGCGGCGCCTAGATGACTGTCCTCCACCCCTAGCTGGCTGGGTGGATGGTGAAGTAACTGGTGCCGAAGTCGAGGGCTGACCCTCTGCTGAGATGAACCCCTAAGGCGACGAGGACAGTGCCTCCACATATGTCCCAACTCTCCGCACTCATAACAACTCCCTGGTGCCGAAGATGGGGACTGGAGAGGACCCCTAGCACCAGAATGACTAGCAGAAGCACCTGGCGTGGAAGAGTCCTGAACTGATGGAGCACGAGACGAACCCTGGGCTGGAAGGGCACTGAGTGAGGAATGACCCTGCCGAGAACCGTGAGAACCATGACCCGATGATGCCCCACGATAACCTGGGCGAGCTGACTGAGCATGCCTGAACGGGCGGCCTCTGCTGTGCTGAAACTGACCCCTCGAAGGAGCACCCCCAAAACTACCATGTCCTCGAGGCCTCTTGGCCTCCCTCTCCTCGTGCTCCTGGCGACGGACTGCCTCAATCTCATGAACGATATCAACAACCTCCTCAAACGTAGCACCTGACACTCTCTCCCTAGTTATGAGAATCCGAAGCTGATATGTGAGGCCATCAATAAACCTCCTGATCCTCTCTCTCTCCGTAGACACCAACCAAATAGCATGACGAGCTAACTCTGAGAACCTCATCTCGTACTGTGTCACAGTCATATCCCCCTGTCGCAACTGCTCGAACTGCCTGCGCAGCTCCTCCCTGCGGGGCTGTGGCACATACTTCTCCAAAAAGAGAGCGGAGAACTACTGCCAAGTAAGAGGTGTCGCACCAGTAGGCCTACGCCTCTTATATGCCTCCCACCAAGTGAAGGCAGCTCCCGTAAACTGAAAAGTCATGAATGCGACCCCGCTGGTCTCCAGAATACCCGCAGTGCGAAGAATCCTCTGACATCTATCCAAGAAACCCTGGGCATCCTCGCTCTCTGCACCACTGAAAGTAGGAGGCTGGAGTTTGCCAAACCTCTCCAATCTGCGCTGCTCGTCCTCTGGCATAACTGGAGCTACATAACCCTGAGCAGCTGCCACTGGCTGGGCTAATGGTGCCTCCGATGTCTGCAATCCCTGAACAACCTAATCCGGTGTGCGGGCGGCGGGAGTCTGAGTACCTCCTCCGACTTGAGAAGTGGCTGCGGCAGTAGAAACTGTGACCGCCTGATCAAGACTCGTACACACGGTCAGGATCTGGGCCAAGGTCTCCTGAAGGCCTGGAATCACAATGGGCACAGCTGGTGCCTGAGCTGGTGCTGCTGGAGCGTCCACAACTGGGACCTGATCCTGAACTGGGGCGGCTGGTGGATCTGCAGGTGCTGCCCTAATGGCTGTGCGGGCTACGCCTCTGCCCCTACCACGGCCTCGACCGCGTCCTCGGCCTCTAATGGCCCCAATTGGTGGTCGTCCATCCTGACCGGTCGCTCGTGTCCTTACCATCTGTCAGAGAATAGAATAACAGAAGTTTAGTACTCGGATCAACAGATTTGCACGACAAGAATGTCAAGAATATGAAGTTTTCCTAAAGGTTCTTGTTGGCCCAAGTAAAGGTTAGTTTTGAAGACTGACAAAGGAACTCGGACATGAACCAGGTCCATCCAGTGGTCCATCCCTCAGGTTCACAAAAACGGGCAGATTCAAGCATGTGGGATGCACATGAAGGAGATAAGCTTAACTTGGTGTATTTAATATCTCCTGATCGAAAAGGTTGCATAATTGATAAGGGGAAGGAGTCCTTAATCAAATAGAACACTATCCAAGATAGGGAAGGAGTTAGAAGTTGAAATCAACTAGAACTCTTCCACCAAGGAAGAGTTGCATCAGAACTCTAGTTATTTCTTCATCTACTAACTCTATAAATTGCAGGAGGTTCTCACATTAAAGTGTTGCACAAAAATGCAGAAGTTAAACGTGAATTGGGAGCAAAATAGCAAGGCTTTTTGCAAGCAGTTCGTGTGTGATTCAAGTGTGCAAACCAGAAGCTACATGAACCAGATTGAAAAACCAGCTCCATAAAGAGTTTTATGTGTCTTTCTTTATTTCTAGTTCAATTGTAGTAGGTGTTTTCATATTGTACCTTTCAGCTTTATCTAGAAGCAATTGTAATAGGCATTTTGAGTATTCAAGTTAGAGTTAACTTGAAGTTGTCGCAGCAGTTAGAGGCTGGTTGCTACAACGGGATTAGAGTTAATCCTTAGGTTTACAAAGAGTTTTGTAAATGCAGTTTTGGCTCAGTGATTTTAGTGGAAGTTTTGGAAAATCCTACTGAGTAGTAGGTCGTGGTTTTTTCACCTTTTGAGCAAGGTGTTTTCCACATAAAAATCTTTGTGTTCTTTATTTTATGTACTTTTAATTCCGCAAACACCGGTCGTTAGTACACCTAGAAGAACCAGGTCCTTCCAGAAGCAGTTTAAGCAAAAATTGGGTACCACACAAATCACCCCCCTCTTGTGTGGCATTGACGTTTAGAACATCAATTGGTATCAGAGCAGGTTATCCTTGAAGAGGCTAACACCTTAGGAAAAGATCAACATGAGTGCGCCACCTGGGAATTGGGAAGGGCAATCCATTGATAGGCCTCCACTCTTTAATGGCCACTACTACTCTTGGTGGAAAAACAGGATGAGGGATCACATCATAGGAGAAGACTATGAACTCTGGGACATAGTCACTGATGGTCCTCTAGCAACTACAAAGAAGAATGCTGAAGGAGTGGATGTGCCAAAGACAAGAGCTGACTGCACTGCTGAGGACTTGAGGAAGTGGGAAAAGAATGCAAAGGCCAAGAAATGGCTTGTGTGTGGACTTGGTCCAGACGAGTACAGTAGAATTCAAAGTTGTACCACTGCTAAGGAAATCTGGGACACTTTGCAAGTGGCTCATGAAGGAACACCTCAAGTGAAGAGGTCTAGAGGAACACTACTGTATTCTCAATATGAGAATTTCACCATGAATGAAGGGGAAACCATCCATGAGATGTATACAAGGTTCACCACATTAACAAATGAACTTAAGTCTCTTGGAAGGGTTATTCTTGAAGAAGACAAAGTCGAGAAGATTTTGACAAGGTACTGCCAATCTCTTGGGAAAGCAAAATCACAGCTATTCAGGAATCAAAGAACATTGCCACTCTTAAATTGGATGAGCTAATTGGAAATCTCACTGCCTATGAACTTAGAAGGCAAACCATGAAGATGGATGCACCCAAGAAGGAAAGGAGCATGGAATTCAGAATCACTGAAGGTGCTGATCTAGAGGAGGATGAAATGACCATGATCACAAAGGATTTCAAGAAGTACCTAATAAGAGAAAATGGTCCTTCAAGAAGTGGAAGCTACAACAAACCAGGGTTCCTGAAAAACAAACCAATGAGGGGTGTTACAAGTGTGGGAAGACTGATCACCACATCAAAAACTGCCCTCAATGGGAAATTGAATGGAAAAAGGAAAGAGCTGAACGAAGGAACAGGAAGAAGGAACAGGTTCATCACAAGAAGAACAAAGGATCAACAAAGGCTATGGTTGCTGCTTGGGGTGAAAGCTCAGATGATGACTCAGAAGATGAAGATGGAGATGAACAAGCACTTATGGCAATTGGGAAATCCGATGAGGAATCTGAGGTAAGTATAATTCATCTTAAAAACAAGATTAAATTTTTGTCTAAAGAAAGGCTATCTCAGTTACTCCTGGATTTCATTGATGAATCTGAGGATCTAAACAATGAAAAGAAACAGTTGTCTAAGGAGTGTGTGATTTTGAAAGCTAAGTGCAAAAATCTGGAACTTAGGGCTAGTGAAAGTGAAAGTAAAAATGCTGAGTTGAAGAACCAGGTTCATGAACTTGACACCACAGTCCTAGAGCTCAAATCTGAAAATCTAAAATTGAAATTAGGAACTGGTAAAAAGGAATCTGACCTCACACAACTCACTTTAGAAGAAAATGTAGGAAAAATGAAAGATGAGTTGTACAAAAGAGATGAGCAGATAAGAGTCCTTAAGGAGGATCTAAACAAGGTTAAGCACGAGCTAGATACAACCTGTAAATGGAATAGGTCCTCCGATGCACTTTCATGGCTACATGAACACCAGAGTAGGAATAAGAGAGGACTTGGTTACGGGACCTCTGCACCTAAGTGGGATCCCAAAAGCAAGTACCTCACACTTCCTGAGAACAAAATTTGCACACATTATGGTAAAACTGGTCACTATAAAAGTGAATGTATTGCAAAAGAAAAGGCTAGTCAAAAGAATAAAGAATTTGTTCAAGGGGAAAATAGGCTGCCAGGTTGGGCTAAAAAGAATTTGATTCACCCTTTTGCCTATAGAAAGGGACCCAAACTAGTTTGGGTTCCTAAGACTAACTCCTGATTTCCTTTTGTGGGTCCAAGTGAAAGGGAGCAGCCAAATATGGTACATGGATAGTGGCTGCTCAAAGCATATGACAGGAAGCAAGAACCAGTTCGTTTCACTTGAGGACCTCAAAGGAGGTAATGTCTCCTTTGGAAATTGGAAGAAAGGTGAGATCATTGGGGTTGGAAAGGTAGGTAAGACTGATTCTCACTCTATTGAGAATGTCTACTTGATAGATGGCCTAAAGTACAATCTAATCAGGGTATCACAATTATGTGATAAAGGTAAATTGGTAGCATTCACCACTACCAAATATTTTGTGATTAATCTTACCATTGACAAGATTGTTTTGCAGGGAAAAAGAGTAAACAATACATGCATTGCAGTTTTTTCCACACTTTTAGAAAATGAACTCACTTGCTTAAGTGTGTTGGACAATGATCCCCTCCTTTGGCACAAGAGAGTTGGACATGCAAGTCTGATTCAACTCAACAAATTAGTCTCTAAGGATCTGGTGATAGGGCTGCCTAACATCAAGTTCAAGGAAGACAAAGTTTGTGAGGCTCGTGCAAGGGGGAAGCAGGTAAGATCCTCTTTTAAATGCAAGAATGTGGTAAGCACCACCAGAATGATGGAACTGGTCCATATGGATCTCTGTGGTCCACTGAGATCATTAAGAAGAGGTGGTAAAAGATATATGATGGTGCTTGTTGATGATTACTCTAGGTTTACTTGGACATTATTTTTAACATCTAAAGATGAAGCATCTGACATGTTTACTTCTTTTGTTAGAAAAACTCAGAAACAACTAGGTAATCAATTTGAATCAATTAGGTCTACCATGGAAGTGAATTTGAAAATGCTAAGTTTGCTGAATTTTTGC